TATATCGCTAGCTTAGAGCGAAAAGTTGCTAACTTCACTTTTAATGAAAAATCATATTTTGATATAGGAGGCTAGATAAATTAAAATTGCATCGTTTCGAAAAGGGTAAAGGTCATTGTTTTATAAGTTTTCTCATTTATATTCAGTGAGAGGAAAATTTGCCAAAAGGCCAAAAAAAGCTCCGGAAATTCGATAAGGCCGAAAAAAAGGTCGAAATCTTTTAATAAATATCGAATCCCTCCGATTCGTATGGAGTTTTTATTTGCTTTAAACATTCCAAGTTTTGCGAAATACTTGAAGAAAATGGCTGTACGAAGTTTTTTCCTCTCCTGTACAATTTTTAAATTGGCACTTAGCAACTTTGCACTCTACGCTAGCGATATTTATTAAATCAGACAAATTTTAAAGTAAAACATTTTTTAATTGTACTTAAAAAACCATGTGATTGTGGAACGTATACATCACAAATAATAATGTAAATACTAGGTACTTTTGAGAGTGACGATTAATAAAAAAAAACATAAAACAAAAATATACAAAAACAATTTCTCTAAACATGTTTATATGGCGAAAAATGGCGAATGGAGAATTTTTTGCCATTTTTTTCGCAATTTACTGGAAATTTTGAGGGTGTACTAGGCAAACGGATCTCAGCATCGGATTCAGCGGGTGGAAATACATGTTGGTTGGTTGGGTCCGGTTAAAAACACACACCCCTTTTTTGTTGTTAGCAAAGCATTCAAAGCCAAGTCTTCTAAGCTTGACCTGCAGTTTTTACATACAAAACCTACTGATGAAAAACAGATTTCTGCATCAACACTTTTAGGCTGAACTGTCAAAGGGTAGACATAATCCATTTGAATATTTGAACTTCTTTTACCAGCACGTCGGTCAAATTATAAGTTTTTCGATTTGAGGAAGTTTTGAGTAGATCGATCTAAAAAATTATCTAACTTTTCCTTAAAACTCTCTGTTTCGTTTACATTAGCGACGCTATGAGTAAATTCATTGAAATCTTCTTCAAAAAAGGCTCAGACTGCAATTGCAGTCAAAACGGCATTTTACAAAAATCATACTTCAAAATTCATAAACAAATTCTTACTATCAATTCGATATTTCAAAATTTTCGGGACATCAAAAACACCGGAATTCCGGGTTCCCGGGATTGGCATCCCTAGTATGTAGCTCTTTCTAGATCGAAACACGAGAAACCAATTCGATCATGTTTTGATAGACAGAAGGCTCGCGTCCAATTTGTGGATGTACATACTTTCTTACATACATACACTCCGAGGGCTTGTTGCACCAAGGTACGCGCATGCCTCTGTGCGCCTAGCACCGACTTACTGAAAGTTCCAATACCAGGGCGAGTTCCCGTAAGAACAACCACGGCGACCGATGTCCAATTGAATGATAACTACACTGAAGGTAGTGGAAAAGATTAGACGGAGCCAGGACAGTGGGGTCTACGCAACCGGAGTGACCCAGATTTATATGTGATCAGGAACTGTCACTCCATTTAATTCCCCAAGAACTCTTTGGGGGATTCTTATGCTGTTACAAACATGCAAAAATAAGTCCGAGACCACAATCGATGATGAGGGGATCGATGTGTGGCGAAGTACATACCAATAGCAAATTCACGGCTGAAAAATAACAAATCCCCTGGAGCTGAAGGCCTGCCAGCTGAGCTATTTAAGTACGACGGTGAGGAGTAGATAAGGTGCATGCATCAATTTAAGTGTGCTCTGCACAATTAACAAGAAATGTAAGCCCGCCATACGCGCCAACTAAAGTTGGATCAGCCTTCTTGGCATTGGCTATAAGTCTTATCGACCGTATTGAGGGAAAGGCGATTGATTGAGCAGTGCAGTGTTAGTGCAGCTTTAGACGTGTTAAATCCACCGCAGACCGGATATTTACTCGACGCCAAATCTTGGAAAACACCTGCGAGAATTGGATGAACAAACACCAACTAAATATTTGCCCATTTCAAAGCCGCTTTCGAAAGAATGAAAAGATGTTTATTTTATGCCATACATATATCTGAAATTGCTTATATGGAAGTATGTATATGCCGACAGAGCAGGCAAATCAGTCAGCGCCTTCGCGCCTCGGTACCCAGGTCACTCTTGACAGTTATAATTTCGAAAATGTAGAGGGCGTCATTTACTTAGAACGAAACATTAAGGCCAATATTCAAGTCAGCCGAGCTATCTAAAACTTGCCAAAAAGTATTACTTTGCACCGAGTTGGCAATTGAGAAGTAAAGGTCGCTCTCTTCATGCACCTCAACATATTGAGCTGGTCAAATCATTACTGTCGTAGCGGCCAGTATCGAAAGCGTAGAGCATTATCTATATGTAGGTGCCACTGACCCGCTTTGATGAGCGCGCGCTCGTCCTCACTCGTTCCTCAACTAGTCTTTGGCATGACTGGCTGCGCTTCATCAGATCTACAGATTGGTTTTTGTTTTCTGAGGTAAAAGGATGGACGCAAGGCATCAATGGCAATGGGCCCTTGGTAGCCGAATTGTGCGCTTTTTCTAAAAGAAGGGAAGAAGGCAGCCAAGAGAGACTAACCCTCTTGTTCTGCCATAAAGGCACAGAAGCATGACGACATGAATCAAGCGGAAATTGTATTTTTTTTAAGAAAAAGATGAACGATGGACCCTTACAACGATATAGACATATGTAGGGCTGTGGATTTAAAGCGCTTCGCTAGCTCGGTCAATGTCAACTTTTTTGCGCAATTTCACCCTGCGATCGTTTATAAAACTATCGTTTTTCTTTATGGGTCCGTATCGTTGTTGCCAGTTACCTATTTAATGTGGTGATATGTGAATATCACAGTTTTAATTGACATTGAGAGGGATATGTATGTATAGATAGGTTATTTTTATTTTTCCTTGCCCAGCTTAGTGAACCTCTATGGCCCTCGAGCGCACTTTGTTCGTAAGAGAATACGGTGTATAAAAACTTGGGAATAGATTAAAATTCGGGAGGGGAAAAGTTATTCGTTCTTTGATCGAACTTTTGCAACATCCGTATCGCTTAAAGGGATAAGCACACACATACATACATACATTATATTAGGGTCGACAAGTCCATTCCAGTTCCGACCAAAGCATTTACGTATGTATGTATGTATATGATCCCAAATATTCCAAACTCCACAGTTGTGAAATTGATTCATTTGTTTTTTCGTTATTACAAACACAAATTTACAATCTATTACAAAACAATGGATATTCGTATTGTCTGTACGCATACATATATCGAGAGCCCTAACCGCCAAAATAACATAAGCGACATTTTTTTCAAAATTTTCTTTTTGATGCAGAAATACATCTAGATGCTCTAGGAATATTTCTGCATCAAAAAGAAAATTTTGAAAAAAATTTCGCTTACGTTATTTTGGCGGTTAGGGCTCGATAAGCTTGTACATATGTACTATTTATGTGTGTGTGTACGTATGTATGTATGGATCTGAAATTCGCTTGAGATCCCGTGATCAAATGCATATCTACTACTAACATAGATAATTTTAAATAAAATTCATTTTGTATTTATTGTACATAGTTTTTACGTTGTTCGTTGATACATACAAATGTATGTATGTATGTATGTAAAATAACCAAAAATAAAAATGTATTAAAACGTATGTATGTATGTATGTTGCCACATTTCTTAGGCTGGTGGAGATTTCTTCAAGACATTATATTTGTAATTCATAGGGTAAAATTAAATCAATTGTCAGCCAATGTCCAATTTATGCATGTGTGTGTGTGTGTACAATGTTTTACGAGAATTTAATTTTTTTTTTTTGGTAATAATATCGCGTGTTACACTAGGCTTGCAGCAAGTAGCAGCGAGTGGCATACATATGTGTGAGACATACCTACTAATTACACATACATACATGTACACAATATATTTAAGTAAAGCGTGTGTAAGTTGCCGCAGTAATTGTTAATATACATTTATTTATGTATGTATGGATGTATGTAAATTTTTTTGTGTTAAACAATTAAAAAATTTTCAAAATTTCGCTATAAAAAGTGGGTTGCTCTTTGCTTAGTTGTTTTGTTTTGTTGTGTTTTGTTTTTTTTTTTTGTTTTTTTTTGTTAAATATATTTTCGTTACATATTTCTTATATTTTGTTCGTAAATGATATCTTCTAATATTTCGTACATACATACATAGTTCTTCATTTTAGTTAACTTACTACTACCACTACAACATTAAATATATATTATCGGCTTTTCTTTAGCAGACATTCATACATATGTGTGTATATGATTACATCAATATCTACTTACATACAAATTACAGTACTTTAGACTTTCGATTTTCGATTTTCGAAATCCCCTTTCTATGCAAAAACGTGCCTTTCCTTTTGGAAATTCACGTCAAACATGCAGTACCGTTACTCCTACATACCGTCTTTTTTTTAATTTTTTATTTATTTAGTATTGTTAGCGGTTTTTTTTTTCTGTAGAAAAATGCGATGCAAATTAGCCTTCTTAATTTCTTAATAATTTTTTTGTTTTTTTTTGTTGATCTGCTTTTTTGTGTGGTGTTTGATTGGTTTCGTTTTTAAATATTGACAGTCAAAGGCTTAAGTGAAGCATTCTTTAAAATATACTATGTATGCATGTGTGTGTGTATGTATGTATGTATGTAGGCATCTATGTATATGTTTGTGTGCATTTCAGTAGTGTCCATTTGTATCCATAAGTACATCGTGTAAATAGTTAGCTACAATCTAAGTTCAACTAATTTGATTTAGTTATAAAAAAAAATGTAAAATTATCTCTTTGTACAAACTCAACTATTTTTCAAAGCAAAACAGAACATTAAACTAATGTCAGGAGTATTGACCGTTGCTGATACGTACTTATGACGGTATTTCAAAGCAATCCCGTCTCGACATTGTGTGCCGTCCCCACCGTGTTTGGGTCAAAGTTCAGTTTGAGTTCGCCGGCCAGCACGATCTCCGAGATGCAACCAACAAAACCGCTTGCATATTTCCGTCGTGTAAAATAAATCGCATCCGGCATGCCACCTGCAAGAAGAAGATGTGTGTAATTCAGAATTTACGTATTTGGAGATTCCATCATACAATTAATAAACTTGATAAGGAGACTATGTTCAGCCTAACAGATGAACAAACTTCCCGAAAATGGCGCGAAGATATGTGTCTTTCTCCATCTGTCTTTCGGTATACCATCTGTATGAATTGACCAAATTTTGATTGCGTTTTCCCACAAAATTAAAATTTTGAAATAATTCACCAATAAACATTGGGCTTGGTTAACAATTCGAAAATGATTGGAAAACTAATTTTTTTCGAGTCTCGCCTTCGATAACGAATGTAGAATAGGTTAGTATTCGATTCGAAACCTCGCCCAATGAACACGAACAAACAGCCTCGGATGAGAGCCCTTTTTCTGATCACGACCACGGCAAGCGTATAAAAGACTATGATTTGAGTGTATGTACCTGGGAAGGTGTGTCTGCCCGGCTGGTTGATGTCCTCGAGAAGACCAAAACTGACATAACCGCCATCTAAGAAATGCAGGGCAAGGAAACGTGAAGCCTTGCGACGTCTACTACAGTTGCCACGTAAAAGAGCGCAAATTCCGTCGCCGAGTACTGGCGTTCACCCGGTTAGACGAACGTCTAGCCACAATCCGCATAAAGACGAGATTCTTCAACATCTGACTCATCTACGCTCATACCCCGATGGAAGAGAAGGACGAGGTGTCCAAGGATCTCTTCTACGGGCGCTTGGAGTGTACATATGAGCGCTGCCCTGACACGATATTCAAATCGTGCTCTGCGATTTTAATGCTAAGGTGGGCAAGGAAGGGATCTTTGGCGCCACTGCCGGAAAATTCAACCTCTACGACGAAAAGGCCGATAACGAACTGAGGCTGCTCGACTTCGCCGGTGCCCGAAACATAGTTATATGTATTACTAGGTTCCAGCATAAAAAGATCCATCAAGCTAGATGGCAGTCTTCAGATCAAAAAACGAGAAACCAAATCGATCATGTTGTGATAGACGCAAGGCAAACATTGACACGAACCACTATTTTGTTGCAGCCAAGATACGCACCCGCCTCTCTGCAGCAGAAAAAGGTGCACCCAACAATGCAAGGAAAGATTAACGTCGAAAAGCTGCAATTACAATAGACGGTCAAGCAGTGGAACTGCATTTCCCGCTCATTAAGTACCACCGCCGAAGAAATAGTCGGATTTCAGGGAACCCGAAAGAGCAACTGGTACGATGAAGAATGTCAAAAAGCTGCAGAGAAAGTAGATGCCACCAACAGGGCCACGCTACGATCGTGCGCAACGCGAGTCATGTGGGACCCTGAACTGACGAGGGAAGCGAGACGTATTTGCTGCAATAAGAAAAGTGAGGCCGAAATACGCGAGGGCGAAGAACTTGAGATGCTGGCTGATAGGAAAAACTACCGAAAATTTTATCAGAGGGTAAGGCGACTTACGGAAGGTTTCAAGACCAGGGAGAACTCCTGTAAGAACAACAATGGCAACCTAGTGACCGATGTCCATAACGTACTTAAATTATGGAGGGAAAACTTTTCCACCTTACTGAATGTAGACAGCGCTGAAAGTAGTGGAGAAGACGAACCCGAGCTCCAGTCTATGACGATGGAGTCGATGCCCCAACGCCTGACTATTTATGACGAATAGCGATTACGCGGCTGAAAAACAACAAAGCTGCTGGAGCTATCGGCCTGCCAGCCGAGCTATTCAAGTACGGCGGCGAAGAGCTGATAAGGTGCATGCATCAGCTCTTATGCAGAATATAGTCAAATGAACGCATGCCCGATGACTGGGATTTAAGTGTGCTCTGCCCAATCCACAAGAAAGGCGATCGCGCCAACTATCGCGGGATCAGCCTTCTACGCATAGATTACAAGGTCTTATCGAGCGTATTGTGTGAAAGACTGAATCCCACCGTCATCGAACTAATTGCGACTTTAGGTCTGAAAAATCCAGAATAGACCAGGTATTCATAATACGCCAAATCTTGGAAAAGACCCGCGAGAATACGATCGATACACGCCACCTACTTGTCGATTTCAAATGACGTTGAGCAATACGACCACCTCCGTCAGAACTGGGAAGTACCTTCCCGAGCCGTTTGATACCTTTCGAGCGATTTCTTTAATCTGATGTTGAAGAAGATAATAAGAGCCGCAGAACTGAATCGCTCCGGCACAATACTTTACAAGAGCGTACAATTGCTGGCGTATGCCGACGACATCGACATTATCGGTAAAAAACAAAAACACTGTTGACGGTTACAGGTTTGAAAAAATAGACGACTTCGTTTATTTGAAAACCATCATTTCCACCAATAATAATGTCAGCCTTGAAATCCAACGAAGAATCACTCTTGCCAACAAGTGCTACTATGGACTGAGAAGCCCAATTGGGAAGTAAAGTCCTCTCTCGTCGTACAAAAATCACACTCTACAAGTCACTCATCATGGCTGTGGTGGCCTATGGCGGGAAGGCATGGACAATGACAGCGACTGATGAGGCGGCTCTTGGAGTTTTCGAGAGAAATATTCTGCGCAAGATTTATGGGCCTATGCGCGTTAGCGATGGTGAATACTGCAGACGATTCAACGATAAACTGTATGAGCTTTGCAACGATATAGACGTCTTCTTCTTCTTCTTCTGGCAGTTTAACTGTTTTCATAAACACACCCGGCTAGAATAGTCCAAAAGATCTCAAGCTTGTGAAAAACACAAATTAGCTCGGGACCAACAAAAGAAAAACAGAATGAGCAGTTTCCTGCGGCACCTGTTGGCGCTCATGGGGAGCAAAAAACAAAACATTAAGGAAATGGTCTTGGATTTGCAGTTGGAATTGCATTTGCAAATTTTAAGCTTGCTACCATGGTAACCGTGTGCATTTTATTGTTGTGAACTTACAAATGCACCGAATATGCACAAGATCCCTAGCTTGCAGTTTTTTCAGTCCGACCAATGATATTTAACAACAATCATGATAATTCGTATGAAATATTTCCGCGACGAACATCCTTGGTTTCAGCAATAGCATTTCGAAAAGCAATTATGTGCTAAATCAATACGATATCTAACGATTTGACTTGCTATATCAACTTTGCTGTACAATACATATACATTTGTGGCAGCAGTGCTTATATCCAGTCAATACTGTTATCGGCAATAACATTATTTCACTCACCAACATATAGTCCTGTGTCTGTGTTCAACTGCTTCAATTTACCAGGCGAACACTGGGCTGATGTTTTTCTTCCATCCATTTCCAAATAACCAGCTTGGGAGTCTCTGTGGCAAAAATAAAAACAAGTAATTAAAAAAAAAAAAATTTTAAGACAAGCTTTTATTAGCTAAATTTTTAGTGGAGTTATTTCTTTCCACTTAAGTAATATACCGTTTAAATATGAAACAAATCGGATCATAAATACGGGGTTTTCGAATATCTCGACACCCGCGCCACCTAGCGTACATCAAATTAAACTGCAAGCCTCAGAGGTTAATCAAAAATTATCAAATTTCAAATCGGAGATGCAAATATATAAGCATTTAAATTATTCCCAGCGTATCTACATATATTCTCTATATGTAGCAGTTGACCGTGTTTTTCACAAAAGGAAAAAGTGTCAGAAATGTCGATGGTGGGCAATGTAGTCTATTGAAAAAAATTAACCAATTTTCAGTGGAATGAGATTCGAATAAAAATATATTTATAGCAGAAACAAGTAATTTTTAAGCAAAAAACAAAACCGACTTCAATTCTCATATAAAAGTTTAAGATTATCGTTAATTTCTTCATGATCCAAAGGTCGGCGTTAAGCCAAATTAGTATGGGACCACCTGCGAGGTAACACCTTTCCTTAAAAAAAAAAACAAAGAATTATAGAAATCGGTTAACGTAGTCCAAAGTTATTCAGTAACATACATTAAAAAACGAAAAATCCGACGAACTGATAACCTTCTCCTTTTTGTGAAGTCGGTTAAAAAATAAAAAACAGTTGAGACCACTTTCTTTTTTTTAAACACCTAGGGTAGCACTGTCCAATGTAATCAATAACAGTAAATTAAGAGCTTTATAAAATTTTTGATTTCAGTTTTGAAATGAACGATCCAGCGGCTCGAACATAATTTGGTTGAAGCATTTGGACCTTTTCAAAAAGAAAATTATGTTGTTAAAGTTGTAAACAATGTTTATCCAGTAGGATTTTATATCCGATATTAAGATTCAGATTAATCAGTTTCTTGTAGATCATAGGTTGGAATGTAATGGAATTAACTCATATTTATTTAACAAATGTATTGTTGTTGATTTTATACAACGTATTATTAAAAATTCGAAAAAATAGCATTTAATTTTAAGCATACAAATAATGCCTGCTAAAATAAAAATTGGCTTGTTTAACTAAGCGTTCGTCGAGGTTCCATCATAACTCACCTGATTGCCCGAACCCTATGCCAAAGGCCATCACTAACTCGGCTCGTATTGTATTTAATATCAACTTCTCCAGAACCTAGATCATAGCGAAAATGTAGATAACTGAAAACAGAAAGTAAATTAAAGTTTGAATAAAAATTTTGTGTTACAATTTTGTGCACACAGTCATACATATGAACCCGATTATAATTACGTACCCATCTTCGATTCCCAAAGACAAAAAGTCGGCATTGTCCTGCGTTGTAATTTGTCGTCCTGTCCACAGTATTACCCCGTTCGGTGAGTGTGTTTTGATGCGTAAATTAAAGTCTACATTATAGCTGATGACCTGGCCCATAGTCTCTGCGTCATTATAGTGGAAATAGCTGTTCTCTCCGGCAAAGCACGCACCGAAATTTTTTCGCACGCCGACGAATTCGCTTTGGTGATCGGGCGATAGCTGCATCTTTTTCAATAGACTCCAATCGGTTTGAGTACTTGGTGCAGTGAATGTTTTGTTTTGTTCGTCTACTGTGACCTTTTCAACTGCCACTGTTTGCACCGGCTCCAGCAGATCGTCATTTGTTTCTCCAAAATCTAAACCAAATCCATCTGATATGTTCAAATTCTTTACTTCACTGTTTCTATCTTGAACAACAAGCTTCCTTCCGCCTTCTTGGCTGTTGTCTTCATCTTTTTCATAATCGTATTCATCTACAAATAATTTCAGCTCCTTTTTATTGCCCACGTCTTCTGGGCCATTGGCAAGTATGCGTCGCATATCTTGAACCAGTTCTTTGCGGTGGTAGTCTTCGGAACTGTCTTTCGGGTCAAATAGGCTTTCGTCGACTAAAAACGGTTCGGATTTGGTTTCTTCATTCATGGCGTCATGAGCATGTCTACGGTCGCTGCCATACTCATCGTATTTCCAATCGAAGGACATACTCTTTATATCCTCTTTGTCCTCCCCACCATTGCCATTATAAATGCCATCATTCGCTGCATTGTAATCATCTTGCATGCTAACATAATCCGAGCCTTGATTTACACCAATTTCGACTTCAACATTATCGTCGAACGTCAAAATGTCTACTTCCGGGTCCGTTTGGAAGCTTTCGTAATGCGTTGGCAATCTGCTCAGCTTCAAATTAAATGAGTCGTCTTTCTGGTAATGCTCACTCTTGCTGCGGACTTTCGTATTGTCTCGCTGCTTCCCTAGGAAGTCGCTTGCCTTAAAATTTGATGTGTGTTTTCGTCCTTCCTTCTTTTCTTTGTTATTGTGGAATCGACGGGGTTGTGTGTTGTCAAAGGGTTGCTCATTGATGTTATGCTGTCCATCCGAAGGACGAGTATCGCGGTATATTATATCGTCTTCTTTGTCGGCTATATTAGCTCCTTCTTCGTCCAATACGGGAGGCTGCCAGGGCTGTATTTGTCTACTGGCATGCCCATAGTGGGGATGGTTCGAAGGGGTTGTGTGCACCTCCAAACGGTTGATGTTGGTGGTGGGGGGCATGGTCGCCAGTTTTGTAATCTTGGAATGTCCTTTACTTAAATGCAATTTTGAGCGGTCTCTCGCCTTGGTTTTCTTGGGCAAGTAATGATGTTTATCATTTCTTATTTGTTCCTTATATTTCTTCTTCGCCTTATTGATTTGTAGTTCCTCTATGGTCACTTCAGCTGCCCTGTTGCACTGACTGCTGAACGCGTTGCAGCGACATTCATAACTCTCCATTTGCGGTATGCATTCGGCAAGAGGACCACAAGGCCTTGCGACACACGCATGCGGGCAGTTGCCTATGTTGGTGCCACCCAACGCCTCCGATACGATAGCCAAAGAGTGCCCATTGATGTCAATCTATGAATTGAAGATTAATGAGTGAGATTTTGTGCGTATATATGTATGTATGTACAAGGTTTGCATGGGCTTTCACCTTCTGAATGCAGCCAACGAAAAAAGCTTTGGACCGCAGATCCAAAGGTAATTTGTCCTCGTGATTGACGCCACCCAAAAAAATATTTTCGGGCAAAGACAGATGCCAGAAGCCATTGGATGAGATAGTCATTACTTCTGGGAACGTATCGATCTGGAGTATGTAGAAGTAACCACACACAGATGTCACAAATAGCGGTGAAAATTTAGCTTTGTACTTTGCTTTTTGTATACATATGTACGTACCTTAAGCACTGCCAAACGTGCCGTTCGTGATACCTTTACGGCATGCCACTGTCCAATTGTCAAAGGATACTCACTCCTATTTCCGATTTGTTGGTTTAATTTTAAAATAAATATGTATGTATGTATGAAATATATATATATAAATGAGTAAATATGTATGAATAAAAAAAGAGGGTTTTACAGGTGCAAGAAATTTAGTAGCCAGAGCTCGTACATACATACCTAACAACAGCAGGTCCACTGCCTAAATCAAATACAAATTCAACAAAGCCTCCACTCAGTGATAAAGCGATAAAATCTCCATGCTTCTCAGATCCTGAATAGAGTATTAAACCATCGGGATGTTCAGCTTTCAGGATGACCTTTAAGGTTACAACAAAGCGTTTAATTGCGTCTATGTTAAATTACACAATTTTCACCTTCAATTCCAGCCAAATGAGTGCACTGTCGCCAAGTGGCGCATAACGTAGATAGGATGAACCGTTAAATGCTGGTACCTGGTACAGAAAACTTAGTTACACTAACTTTTGTATCAATACACTGCTTAACATACCTGGAGGTCCATGCGTATTTCGCAAAGATCGCCCACAAAGCCAATTGGGCATAGGCAAACAGCACCCTGATCGGATGGCAAACACTTGCCACCATGCTGGCAAGGGTACTTGAAGCATTTGTCAGTTACACAGTCCTCTGGAAAATAAAACATAGGCACCATAAATAAATAAGTATGTCAGAACTGGTGTTATCCAAGGATTCGCTCTGCAATTCGCTCATTTACTAAAAACTGTCACAACCCAAAACGATTGAAATAATGTCATTGGAATTAATGTCAATGTGTCATAAATTCGCTTTGACTCCCATTCACTCGGAAGTGAATAACAGAACCTGCCAGATAATACCTTTTCGAAAGCGAAGTAGAATCCATGGACGTTATTGCTCTTTCGAACAAATTTTGACAAAGTCCCCTTTAAACATATCGCCCCGTTATTCCAATAGCGTCATAACTAAAAAAAAAACTCGAGAAAAACGGCTTTACAGTTTTGAATTTACATGTACTCCCATAACTAAAATTAATACATACTTTGTTCTAATGTTCTATGAAATTTAGTTTAACTCAATATTTATATTTCTTGGATTATTACGCTTTTGAAGTAAATGAGCGATATGTATGTACATAGTAGACAGCTTTCAAAGTGCATTACACCGCAGCGGTGAGCTAAGTTCGCCATAAGATGGAGTCGCAGTAAACTCGAGGAAGAAGTCTGATGAGGAATGTGGTGATCTCCGAAATAGCAACTATACTTTCATCACTTATAAAACTGTTGTTGTTTTTTCCACATTAATTTTTCATAAAAACCCCATGACAAAACTTAGTAAAGGCTCAGTTAGTGTAGACTTAATTTACGTAACGTTTCGATGTGGCTTATAGGTCTCTAAGTCTAGATTAGCTATAGATAAGACTATAAGGTAAAACCGTTTTCTCAATTCGTCGGCCGTGAATTTTTTTTTTAAGTTTTCCAGCATTTTAAAATTTTATAAATTGGATAATAAAAAAAGAAATTGTTGTTGTTTGAGATTTAAAATGAGAAGTGTTTATGTTTAAAATATAAAAATTAAATTGCTTGTAAACTTGAAGAGTTTTAAAAGTGTCTCTCTATCTTTCTATATATTTATCATGTAAAAGAGGGCCCCAAGCTCAACAAACAGTTTTGAATATGATTTGTTATAGGGCAAAAAGAAAAAGAAAAAAATAAATATGTAACAAAATGTTTTTTCTAACATTACTTCATTTTTAGGGATTGAATCAATTCCAAAGTGACTTAATGTTAATCACTTTTGCTTTTGTGCTAATGTCATTGACATCAATCCCCTTAAAAAAGTGAATTTATGTCAATTTACATTAATTCCATTGATATTATTACGCATCACACAATATGCAGCATGATATGAAGCTTTTACTAAAGCTTCCCCTCCTCGGCAGGCAATGGCAACCTGCGTTCGGAGAGACGACGTAAAATGGTGTTTCCACGACAACCGAATTACGTGGTTCGCTCTCTCAATTACGAACGGCGAAACAACCTGTTTACACGACACACATTCTTGATTCACTTTACAACTCCGCTACTTGTTCTTTAATTTTATTTATTTTTGTAATGTGTTGTTTATTGTGCATTTCAACGGTGGAGAAAAAGTGTGTAGTGGTTAAATAGCTAAATCAATAGTTTTAACGAATCTATCTATTTTTTCAATGTTTGTGCTGGTGGAGATGTGTGTGGTCTAAGTGTTTTGACAGCCGTTATCGATAAAAATTAGAGAAGACAACGATTTGTTCGCGATTCGCATGGTGATTGGATCTGAATCACCTACAAATGAAATGATTCGAATCGTGATTGGGGCGCCAATCACGAATGAGTAAATTACGAATGGGAGAGCGAATCACTTGTCGTGGAAACATCGTTTATAACTGTAAGTCCCTGCATTTGGCCAAACAGCCAAAATGTGAGCGCCACATATAGTTTTATATAGTTTTATGAAGCATGATAAAGTTAATGATAGTTTTTTGAGTTATGAAAGAATATTGGTGAAGTAGCGATATGTAGTAAATATGTATGTATTTAGGTATATAGACGAGGTTTGGCCGAAAGTATGATTTCTCGACTTAGACGGTTATTGCTCGTGACACACAAGGCACATCCATACAAGATGGTGGCAATTGCATATAAGTAAAAGTGCAGTGTATTTTGTTATTGCTTTTTGGTACAAGAGGATGTCAAAACGAAAGGCAATAGGAGATAATTTTCGTCATTTCGTTTTGTTGACATCCAAAAGTTGCGCCACTTCCGTCTTGGATGACATTCTCCTGTACTAGTTTAGAGACAAAAATATCCAATCAGCTGATCAATCAACACCACCTTGTATTGTGAAGCGCCTTGGTTACACGACACATATGCATGTAGATTGACACATAGTGGTACTCACGTATGTCAAAACCTTTTGTAACATCTCCCAAGGGGTGCTCTTCAAATTTGTACTCATGCTCGTTCGCTACGAACCGTCTTATGCAGCCAATAAAGCCTGTGTAGACCGGTAAACGCCTCGCCAATCCAGTGATATTTCCGCTGCCGCCCAGAAAGACAGGCTCACGGAAAGTGATTCGAGAGAAGAGTCCCTATAAGAAATATTTGTTTAATATTCGCAACGGAACATGAATATAGAAAGTATCTAGTATCGTCACCATTAATGCTAAACGCCCTAGATGACACTTTCTAAAATGGATGTTTCAATAATAAAAGGTTTGCTCAGAAAACAGTTTTCTCGCTCCCTCTTCACAAAATCGGCTCCCTTAGCAAGGCACTGTGTATGGGTTTATGGGTTCTTTCTGTAAGGGAGTGTCAAAACTCAAATATCACTAGTGAGCAAACCTTTTATTATTGAATCATGATGTTTACGTACCTACATACGTATTCTGTTAGTTTTATCTCAAATACACCCCTATAACAAAATTCATAGCAATAATAACATCCTTTAAACGGTCCTTACACATACATATGTATCGAGAAAACATAAAATCGAATGAAATGGACAACAGACCTGCCTAAAAAGTCTGAAAAATAATGACGAATTTTTGATCAAATTCAAATTTTAATGATTTCTATCGTTTTACGAAAAAGTTTTTCACCCAATTCAACCGTCCGTTAGAAACCTAATTATTAATTACTAATATTGTAATAATTATATATTTTGTTGTGAAATAATATCGTAAAATTCTATGCAAATCGATACTTCGATGAATTCCCTCCGATGCACATTAGAGTGGTCCAAATTTTGTTTGGTTGAAAAAAATGTCATTCTAGAAAACGGGGAACCCCCTTAGCTTTTTTCCTTTTCATATTTGTAATATCTATACCAACTTTCAGTTTTCGACTGCATTCAATACAGGGTGCTAAATGACCTTGAAATGCACTACTGGATCGCTGTGAAATTGGCGAAAATATTGGTGATTTTTATAAAAAGCCAATGTTGTCATGCCAACTGAAGATTGTAATATTTTTTAGATAATTTAAATTTGAAATTTTCTTAGGTTACTTAACCAATTGTTTGATAAATATATGTACACAATACTTCTAGAGTAAAATATGAGCATCATGAGCATCCTCTAAATTTATACTTAGAAACGTAAAGTTTGGTACCAGCACCTCTTTCGGCAAGAGGAAAAATTTTGGAAAGTTTCTACCTCTCCTGTAAAATTTAAAAATTTTCAAATAGGGCCTTTTGCATTCTTGGTTACTATATACTATCCTATGTATGTAACGGGTGATCTATCTAGGCCTTTCTTATCATTCTCGTTTGAAAATTGATAAGCCAGCTACAATTCAAAAAACTTGGAACCCAACAGTACTCGCGTAATTCGCGCGATACCGGTGCCAATACTGGAGAGAGTAATGAATATTTGACCTTTTTGTGTAGTCACGGCCAAAATTCGAATTTATTTATTTTTAAAAAGTAAATGTCAGAGATTGTTCTTTCAGGTAATAATAAAGACTCCGACGACATCCAGTTCTGTTTTAAGTACATTATCTTGAATTTAAAAAAGGTATAGATGGATAACCCGATATAGCGAAGAAGAGAGAATAATTGCGCTCTGTTCATAAACTTTACTCACATTCGAGCGACCTTGTACTTTGGTACCGTGGTTCAGCACCAGCCAAGCGTCCCATCGGTGACGGTAAATGATAACGGAATTCCACTCATTTAACAGAATAGTTTCACGAGATCGTACGTTGCCAACACCGGATCCGCAGTCAAACCTTTTCAAAAACAGATACAACGTTTTATAAATAAGTTATGTAGGCCTTTGACATTATCGGTAATAAAATAAAACTGTGTGGGTGGTACTTACCAAAATTCTACAAAACCTTTGTTCAAAAGCAGTGCCATAAAATCCCCAGTCAGATCGTCCCTTTCTCCACTCAACAAAATAACTCCATTAAAAGACTCTGGTCTGAACTCGACACGTATCTGAAGTGATGAAACCAATTTATGACAACTTCGTGCTAATGCAGACTTATAAAAAAAATTGCGGCGTAATGCGTATAAGAGTCTGTAGTATTTTTCATTAAAAAGAAAAAATATTTGGCGCTTTTGCTAAATATTTGGTCGAGCTTCTTCTCAAATTTGTGATGTGCGTCCTGATCTTATAAAAAAAAATGGTGGTATCTAAATTTTACGCCGCCTATGAACAGCAAATGCTTTTAGTAGAGGCTTTTTCAGAAAATACACTCGGAGCTTGGCATTTGCCTGCCGAGAGCGATCGCTGTTAGTGAAAACTTTCTTATTTTAGATGCTTCTTAGCCCAGGGTTCGAACCATGGTACTTTAACTAACCGGCTAAAATATTTACTTTTTATATCAGAATTGCAAAATAACCTAAAACCAGCCTATAATCTTTCTATAAATTTTATATCAGTCATGACAAAAAGCTTTTTTAAGTTTTCTGTGAATTCCATAGCAGAGCGTTCGGAGTAGAGGCTCTCTCTGGTCGTTAGTCTGGCTAACCAAGTTGCCAGCCATTTTGAAAATTTTTGATATTTAGGGAATTCACAAGACGACTTAAAATAAAGATTTAATGGGTTTTAGGGGAATCAGAGAGTATAATAAAAGCTAAATATTTATTCTCTATCAGTTTAAAAACATTGGGGTTTAGATAGGGCGCTTTCGATAGGGCTTTACCTGTACGTGTTTATATGCCCCTCTTAATGCCGGAAATGCCAACCATGAGTGCTCCGAAAATTTAGGCGTTCGGATTTTTATTTCTGAAATGGATAAATTGGCATTTACTCATATCCTAACATGTACGTATGTATGTATTTAATCTGCTTACCCTCGAAACAACCATCACCGCTCTTGCCAAAGGGGCACAGACATCTATTGGCGTCATCATTCCGCTCACATACCCCTTCCGATCCACAATCCAAATCACAAGTCCGCGAACTGTAAAATCCGTCATAAAGATGAGTGATAAAAAAAAAAAAACATCACACTAAGGGCCAGTCTTCAGTGCAGGTTTAAACGCAGTTTCAATGAAGTATACTTAAAGGAAATTTAAATTTAAACTACCAACCAGATATTCAGTGTCAGTTTAAGGCCGCTTCATAGTTTAGTTGTTTTGTAGGGCAACACTGTTTTTGCTTTTCATTTTTGATAGAATCGCGGCCGAAATCTCTGAATAATTATGGGCGGAAAATTAAAGAATTTAGCCTATGCAAATAAAATCCAAATCAAGTTTCGTTTGTTAAATTTCTTGTGGACATTTTTCATCTTTCGTATGAACATTTAGCGTATTTATGTGTCGCTATACAAAATTCCCCTAAATATTTTGCAAACAATTCAAATTTTTTTTTCTTCTCTTTCATCTCAGTTTTGGCACCTGAGGCAAATATATGTAAAACACACCAGCCTAATTGGGCGTTTCAAATTACATAGTTCAAACTTCGTAAATTTGATTTTGAGTTAAAAATTTGGTTTAAACGACACAACGCACACAGTTGAACTTGCACTGAAAAACGGACCCTAACTCTAGCTTTGCCTAACTTACGTTGAAGAAGCCGGCCGGTGGTCTCCTCTCGATATGTTCGTTTTATCTGATATTGCCATGAATTCGCCACTTTCTTGCATCACATCAGCAGCAGCATCGCCCGCTGAATTTTGACTATACTGATTTGAATTCGAAAGGTCGATAGTATTTATTGCATATTGATTCTGATATGTACTTTGACTTGTTCGACGACTGGGCTGATTTCCAAAGATGCCGCCAAACATTGGCATGCCCACCATGTCTATGTCATTGGAGTAAGAGTTTGCTAACTGATTTGAATTGTCTGTTGATTTTCTCAATGCCGAAGGTGCCTTTCCATTGACGCCCATTGTATTTGTGGTAGACTTGATGTCTGATTTTAAGCGGATACGCTTTGATTTTTTATCTGACGACACCGCTGGAGGATCATCACCGGTTGTGGCATCGGTTACTACAAAGCGACGGGAGTTAACCGCCGCCCGTGCCGTTGTCTGTTCTGTCAATTTAGCTTTTAACTCAGGTACATCTTGGCTAGTATTAGTTAACTCTGGATCATCGCCATTACTGAAATAGACGTCTTCAGATGATATGTAATAATCGTTTGAATTGACCTTCGCTCCGCCTTCGTGGCGTTTCAGAATCTCATCAAAAAAGTGGTCGGCCTGCCCATCCTCAACATCCTCCATCGAAGACGAGTCTGGAACAGAGGCCGTCCCGATCTGTTGTGCGTCAGCCGCCATCGAGGATGCAGAGTCATAGCCTAGCAATATGTGATTATCGCCATCGCTGCCATCAGCTAGCTTGGCGCTAAATGATGCACCCTTTTGGTAGAGAACATCCTCGTCAGATTTATAATGCTCATCGAGATTGACTGTGGAATTAATAACTAATAAAAACTCCAAAATATTAGAACAAAGGTTCAAGGACGGTAAAAACATGTGTGCGTATGTATGCAACATTTATGTAATGAGTATACTATAATAAATATCTCTATAATAAATTTATCGCAGTCTCATAGTTTTTCTGTTTTTACATTGCTCGAAGCGACCAATGAATTTTGTACAATTTCTACGAAAAATAGTAAAATACATGGGAAACTTGGAGCGCTTTGAGCTACGTCTAAATATTTTTTGATTGACCTAAAACTTTGTATAGTTTAGTCTATCGGCTATTCACACATTTCCAGTGGGTTGAGACCGAGAATCCGAGCTCTTTTCGAAATAAGGGCCACCCTAATGTATACTATATGTACGCTTGAATAGAGGTACAGGTATTATCCGATATACTAGTGTCACTATTAGAGCTGTTAGATTATTAAAAATAATTCACCATTCCCCGAACATTGCGTTATCCCATTGGACTGAAGAAAAAAGTAATGAACTCAAATTTCATTTGATCAGCTGATGTAAGGTGGATCAGTATTCCGATTTGCAAAAATCAGAGTAAATCCAAAAGCTTAAAAAAAAAATGATTCGAAATTCCGTACTAGCGGGTTTTCGTTGTCGCTAATAACGATCCCGTTGTCAGAATTTCAAATTCAAAATGGCGTCTGGTGAATTTCGAGCTTTTTAATTAGATTTCTTACAAAGATTCTGGGTATGAAGCCTTATAGCCCACTCAATTTTAGTGTCACAAAGTGCAAGTTTGAAGATTTGAAAATGTGTTGACAGTGCCAGTATGTTCGATGATATGAAGAAAAGGAGCAACACCTTCAACAAAAAAATAAATTTACAAAAATCAACCGAAGTCCCAGTCTCTTTAAACTTGCACTTTATTATACTTAAATTAAATGGGCCGAGCTTCTCCTCCGATTTGTGGCGTGCGCCTTGATATTGTCACACAAAGGGGAGCGACCTACAGTTTTACGCCGAATGCGCACGGCGATTGTATTTTTAAGAGAAGCTGTTTTTCATGGCAGAAGTAAGTACACTCGGAGGTTTGCCATTGCCTGCCGAGGGGCGACCGCTGTTAAGAAAAATCCTTTTTTTCTAAATTTTTTGCAATGTTGCTTTGACCGGGGATTGAACCAAGGCCCTGCGTGGTGGTAGCGCGCACTGCTTGCCACTACACCACAGCGGCCGCCAACAAATTTCTGTTACAGTGTTGATATTCACAAAATTTTTTCACGTTAAGAGACCACCTGTGTAGGGTAAGATGAGCAGCCATGCTTGAAAGCAGTTCACTGTTTCCCTGAATGTCCAGCTCTGCCGACCTCCTGCGAATTCTAAAGAATGTCTTCAAAAGCTCCAATAACTAACGATAGCATATTTCGCGACAGATCGAAATGATTTGAGGATACTAACATCAGTTTGTTAAGAAAACCAGATTCGGGGGTATTAAAAAATGGCGCACCACGCGCTGACTGCGTCCATGGCTATACCTAGGTGAGGCTCTTACCAAATTTTGTTTTACTTGTTAGTGTTGCAAGTGCATTTACCTTGGCAGCTGTAACCATTTTTATTCAGTTCATATCCCTCTATGCAATCGCATTCGTACATGCCATCGTGGATTTCATAGCACAATTGTTCACAGGGACTCGTGTGACCGCAGTGGCCTAATAAATAAATTTTATTTTTTTAATTATAAAGTTTTCAAGGACATATCGTAGCTTTGCTCCAAGAGTGGCATAATTCAAAAAATCGAAAACTTCAGAAAAGCAAAAAAAAAACAAAAAAAAAGTAAAAATGGAGACACATTTTTTTCTAATGAGCTGTTAGCGTAGAAGAAGATACATAACTCAACAATTTTTGTATTTTTTTTTTAACACTCTGGCAGCAAAGGTACGTTATGTAATTAATCGTGAAAATATTTGTAAATGTATGTGCATTGGGGTATCCTAGAACACAAAATTTTATTTTTTTTCTTCCAAATAATGTACAATACAAATATAAAGTTTCATTAAGAAATTGTACCGAGACTACTTACTGCCTCACACATTAAAAATATTGTAAATTTGCGCGTTAAGTTTTTCAAGGATGGTTCGGTTAAATTAGACTAGCCCGTTTTTGCCAAATGTTCAAACAATAGCCCCAGGGGTCCGGGGGAGATTTCTTTAAAACCCCTTTCCCAACATTCCTGTCAAAATCTAATTTTCCAGCCGCACAGCGTTACCGCTCGTTGTTTCGGTATACTTCATACAAATTGTATGGGCATGAGAATTTTTTGACAGCCCCAGACAACGCTGACGCATTAAGCCCAACGCTACGCGCACACTAATGCGGGCGACATGAATAAACATGAGCGCTCGCAGCACACATAAACCGGTGACCGAACCATCAGCGACGATAATTTCATGTTTGTTTTTACCAAAATGGACTGCGAGAAATTATCTCATTGGGTGCAGGGCAAAAAAAGTTGCCTATAGAATTACCTTTTTAAGGGTATGTCAATTCAAATTTATTAAAAATATTTCACTCCTTATAAAATTTAAATATAGACCAGATTTGTGTGTACAAATGCGGTCGGCCAATAATCTGGTTAAGTGTACGCATCAGTTCGGACGGTGAAATTGTTCGGCCGACATCGGTCGGTCGGCCTATCGGATTCAGTGTGCGCTGCGCCTAGCGTTACATTAGTCTCAGAATGGAATATCCAGGAGGGTTTCTAGCGTCAACTGGAGCGCGGACTGCTCCCGTTTATATATTTACATACATACATACCAACGCTGGTTCGTTTAAGTATTTTTAACTACACTAACTAGTAAAGAGTATATAATATATGTAGATATTTGGCTATCAATTCAGAGAAAACTGCGGGAAAATGTAATACGCTTTCCAATTATGTCCTAAACAATTTGAAAAATGTTTTAACCTCACCGTAAACACACAAATTTAGTACGGTTGGGCTGTAGTTGTGTAGCAGCCATGAGAAATTTTTTGCGTATGTTTTATTCTCATTACAACTTCTTAATCAAAACGTCGACTACAGCAAGAACTCTGTATATGTACTCATATCCTTACGTTATTTAGGCCAAAAGCAAAAAAGGATAGCAATACCGAAATTCGCCAAAATAATTTAGAACACACAAATGTATGTACATTAGGGTGCATCAATCTCCATACTAAAAAATCGGTACTGTTTTTCCATCGGAAATACTATAAAGTTTATTATACTTTAAGACTTTCGCTAAAATATTTCGGAAAAATATTAAGACTTATGTGAGCTGAACCTAATGGGATTTTTGGAAATATTTCAAAATCTTAAGTATAATAAATTTTATAATTCTTGTGGAAAACCCGCACCGCACCTTTTTTGGCGATGCACCCCAATGTGCATACATATGTATGTATGTGTATGCATACATACATACATATAAATGTTTGCGTTCTTACCCTGAAAAGCCGCCTCCATTGTAATTTCTGCTTCCGCACTTTTGGCAGTTGCCAAAATGGTCACCAATATAAGTCCATGCATCAGCACCTGGTTATTTCTAGTCGTCGTCATTTCTAATTGCAGTTTGTGCTTTTCCGACGACTACAACGAGAAATATTATATACATAAGTACATACAATTAGTTTAAATGCTTATACAAATACATACATATATATATATATATATATATATATCTACCTTCAGAGCAGATGATTCCGATAACTGTATGTATTAACTACAATCACACTTCAAAGTTTGTTGCAACGTCCAGTTTGTATTAATATTTTCGTAAATTATTTGAATAATTCGCTAAATCCCAAAAAGTTGTCATTGTTCAACCAATTCATTTCTCCTCGCCTCTCAAACCTGCAAATATGAGGAAATGTAATGTACTTATATGCGGTTACATTTATATGTATGTACTTGTACATAAAATACCCACTGGGAAAATAGGTAAGCACCTTAAAGGTAATCCATGTTTTCTTTCCACTTTTAGAGTACCAAAATTGTCTCCATGGCCAATGTCATCTACTAATAAAGCAACTGACAACGTAAGGCGTCATCGGAGGTGTTCATTTTTTGCCTTACTAGTACATGACATTGGTCAAGGTGACAATTTTGGTTACAAAAGCTAAAAGAAAACTTGGATTACCTCGTAAGGTACTTACCTCTTTTCCGAGGGGGACCTAGGCAACCAAAACTGTGTACATATGTATGTGTAGATACATGTCGAAAGAAAGAGATTTAGCACAATCCCTGGGTCTCGAGACTCCGATGTTAAAGAAGTCACATACATACATACTTACATATCGTCGTTTTAAGTACAAAATCTCGTAACTGACATTTGTGCCAAAAAAGATATGTATTTGCTCACCGGAAGCTGCTGTCATCAAACCGTTATCAATTTTTACTAAAATATCGATACTTAAAAATAAGAAGAAGAGAGATAATTAGGGATAAAAGAGAGATCCGTTTGGAAATAAAATTTGGGCAACTTCTCAGAAGAGGTTTTGTATTTTCTTGATACGCAGTTTTGCACTTTAAGCGACGATATGTGAATATGTACATAAAGGTTTTGTATAACTTTTGAAAGCCCAATTGAGAAATATGACTGAGCTATGTTGAAAATTTGGGTCTTTACCTAGGTAGGTGGATATATACATACAACATATCTAATAACAAGAAACAATTCTAAACGCTTGGCCGAGCTTCGCACACAAATGGAGGCACCTACAGTTTAATGTTTTCTCGTGGGCGGAAATATAGTGGAGGCCACCACAACTTTCTTGGATGTTGCTCTGGTCATGGATAGAACATGTTTCCCACCAGATAGTGGTGGGCGGCACTTCTAACCACTCGTTCACGGCGCCCGCATACATAAATACGTATTTGCCGAAAATGATTTATAACGAGCGTACAGTTCTTTACTATATTGCAGAGCATAACAATCCGAAAGTGTCTTGGAAACCTTGACAACGGGCTTTTCCACAACAAAGTGACCAAAAGGGGCAACACAACACCTGAAAGTAGTTAAACGGGGAAGTAGTTGTAGACATAACGAAATGTAAAGGATATTTTACATCGTCCAAATGATTCAATTCAAATTTAGGTTTCTTCGATTCGATGGTGACTTCTCATTCTTGTTTTTATATGTATGTATGTACATATATATTTACACTTCGCTATGCGATATATCAATCCGTGTGATTATTTATTCCGTCGAAACTTTTCTTTCTCCAGTCGCTGTCTCCTTCACCTCTTCAATTGACCATTTATTTATTACTGTGCGTAAAATTTGTGTCTTCGAATATTGCTTAGTGTTTTCATTTGTATCGATTTTTCTTTCTGCTGTAACTTCAATTAGGTTCCCAGCTGGCCGTCACAGTATACTCTCACCTCGTCTAAATTATTACTCGCTTTTGCACTTGTAAATTAGGCTTTTATTTTCTGTGTCTTTACTTGCAATGTTCCACTTGTAAATTTCACATTTTATGAGCTCAGCAGAAGCCCTGCGGCGGGCGATTAATCACTAATTTATTCCGCGCTTGATTTGTCGTCTGGAGCTACAAGTTAGAGCATGAGTGAGTTCGATATTTAGCACGCACTGTATGGGTAAGGTAAGTAAATGAATTAAGGTCGCATTCACATTCAGATTGACTGCTTTGCTGCTTAAGGTTCTGCAGCAGGTGCTGATGGCCTCGGCGCTGCAAGCTTAGGTAAACGTAGGGGCGTAGCGTAGGATTGCACACATGCTTACATATATATATATATATATATGTCTATGGAGGTGCATGCAGGGGTTAGTTCAGAATTGCGTTAATGGTCTGCATGTAATTTGAATCGCATGTGAAGCCAATAGCTGGGATCTACATATGTATGTATATACCTATCTATCTTACTATTATTTGGATTGGCTTTCGTATATACATACAGTATCGGTCATATCTATAGCACGTCATTTCAAAGTGATATTGTGTGCCACTTATGTTTATTTATTTATTTTTAAGAATTTTCAATTAAAATTTAGTTCATTCTCAGACAAACCCCATATATACCCAAGTTAAACAATTTGTAGAAAACTTCAAAAAAGTGAAACAAAATTTAACCTAAATTTCAAACTTTTTTCTCGGAAGTGCTAGAATTTTTTTGAGTACACAGTTTTTTAGCCCCTGCAATTTTAGTCTGATAGTGTGCAAATTTCAAGTGGCTACGAATTACCGTTAATTTTTTAGATTTTTTTTTGTCGCATTGGCTTCCATATAATGAATAAACTCAATTTATTTGTATATGGAAGAAAACCGCAACACCTTTGGCGAAAAAAATTCTAAAAAATCAACGGTAACCTTTAGCCACTTGAAACTTGCACATTATCAGACTAAAATTGATTTTGCTATAAAACTGTGTATTCAGAAAAATTCTAACACCTCGGAGAAAAAAGTTTGAAATTTATATGAAAATTTGTTGCACTTTTTTGTACTTTTCTACAAATTGTTAAACTTGGGTTTATATCAGTTTTGTTAGAGAAAGAACTATATTTTAATTGAAAATTCTTCAAAATAAATAAATAAACATAAGTGGCACACAATATCACTTTGAAATGGCGAGCTATAGATATGACCGATACTGTACATACATATCGTCGATGTTTTTGCAAAACCGCCCATCGCCGAATTGCAAAAAGAAGAAAAATGCTTTTTTCTACATTTTTACGATGTTGCTTTGACCAGGGCTTGAACCCAGGCCCTGCGGAGTGATAGGGCGCACTGCTTACCACTACACCACCAGCGGCCGCCAGTATACATACATACATATTTATAAGTTAAATAGGTAGAATATGGCGGGAGGGTACCCAGAAAAGCATATATGTAATTTTTAAAATGCCCAACAAAAGTGCACGGCTCTTTGCTTCTCCGCAGATAACTAAATGAATAATAACCGGCTATGCTACGATTTCACATGTACCGTTACGTAGCGTGAACTCGTCCCATCGACATCGGCGTTTATCAAAATGCTACTTTTTACTTAACCGCGCAGTGCTCTAATATATGTATGTATGTATGTATCCACATGCCTTTTCTTTACCTTTGATGCGACCATTGCGTGCTCCTATAGATGAATGCTTGATTACTTATTTGTTCTACATACATACATATGTAGGTGTGTGTTCTCATTTCTTTTATAATTTAATCGATCGAACAGAATGACCAAAGAAAATACCTACATAATTGTTTTATATACCACCATATGTATGTATATATGTATGTATTCAGACATATGTAAATCACTGTGTCCCTATAAACACTTCTTCCGTTGACTTTAGGGGCCTTCGTGGCGTATACTTAACTCTTCAAGTTAGGTTCCTTTTGATTTACACACACACACACACACACACACATACATACATACATATGTATTTTTGTAGATTTAAACATCATGCCACTAGAATTTCTTGCACTATTATTATTACTTTAGGCGAGCGTAGATATATTTACCACGAATTCCATTTCATTTATTGAACTTTCACTGCGATTTCTCATTGCTTATATATCACGGAAAACATTCCGCGAGTCGCACGAAAACAAAAATGTTCCACCACCAACCAACTGAGCTGCAGTCGAAGCAATACCATTTCCAAATGCAACAATAATTCGACAACCGAAAGCACGCACCACAAATACCATGGAGCGCCCAACACACGATACGGATATACTATGTATGTATGTATGTATGTATGTACGGGTATGGTGAAGGATACTCGAGGTGACGCATCGCCTTTTTGTGGCTGTGCGAGCAATTATTGTGTGTGTCTTCTTCCTGAAGTTTAGCGTACTGCCCTCTGCTTCTTCAATATTTACATCCTTCACTGCGTTTGAATATTATACGTAAAATATATACGTACATATGTATGTGTATGTATGCATACAAATGTACAAAAATATCTCTCACTCAGTCTGGCGCAAGATTACTCATTTTTTTGTATTAGATAGAGTATATTATAGATGTCCTTTAAAAGCACTGCAGCGAAATATTTTTCACGACATCCACCTATTTACTCCAAACCACTGGTCGTATTCAATATTTTTTATCTGAAATACATACACATAAATAAAAACGCTTTTGGTAGCAGTTTTTAAAGCTAAAGCGATAGTGAAAAATTGGGAAAAATATCTACACACAATTATTTGCACATACATATGTACACACACACGTCTGACCGTTTTGAGCTCCCCGTTTTTAGGTACAACTTATTTGTACAAATCCTTTTTTTTCACTCTTCATTCTTATACAATTTGCACCCGCACTTTTCTTTCGTTTATTATTTACCTCGAATGCAATCAAATAGGACCCTTTTAACAAAATTAAAATATTTATATGTAACGGGGCGCACATATACACATAAATATTGCGGAGTTGGTTTTTGCTTATTGGTATCCTGACTGAGCATTCCTTGCGTTGCGAAACAGCAAACTGGCGACCGTAATGTTCATTCTAATTGACGGAAGGCTATTGAATCCAGTTAAACCGATTGAACGAGCGAGCCAACGCTGAGTTTTGCAGCTGAATTCTCAGTTAGCTTTTTGCCGTCTGTTTTGCGTTGTATTCGCTATGCTGTGTAATGGGCTGACTTGACTCACTTAACTGTAAAGTTGAGTTTTTGTGAGAGGAAGTCCTGTTTACAAAATACAATCGCGAACGGAGTTGCCATATTGGCGTGTATATTAGTATTTGTTGCAGGTTTAGCCCTGTTTCAGTCATTTCCTTCCATACAAAGTATGTTCGGCGGCGATAGGACCGAGCTACTTCAAACCTCGGACTTACAGCTGTCTCTTTTATTTGTTGTATTTAATTTTTTGTTAAAAAAAAGTAGCGCAGAAAGTCGCTTCTTTTAAAAATTCTTATTTGTGCGAGCGATAGCTGAAAAATTTCAGATAAATGGCTGAATTTTTGCCAATATAATTTTTTTGTGACCTACAACAAAATTTTCATATGGGACCGAAAGAAAAAAAAAAAACATTCGTTTTATTTGAAACAGTCGAATGTACATATATGCATATTGTTCCGGTGTCCCGGAACCTAAAATTATTTTTTTCGAAGTTCGATATATGTATTTGCATACGCCCCAAATTTGTGATAAAGAAATATATGTACAGAATATAAACTTTTATTTCTGTAGGATGGCGATAAGCCGTGAGAACTTGGAATTGAACTTTTGGGCGACATAAAACACTTCCGACACATAAAAACCTAATGAACGACGTTGAGCACAACCTTCAGCTCCATCCAAATTGGGAAGGACCTCTCCGCGCCGTTTGAGACCAAACGAGGTTTTAGACAAGGCGACTCCCTCTCGTACGAATTTTTCAATCTGATGCTGGAAAGCCTAATAAATAAGAGCGGCCACTCTGAATCGTAGCGACACCATACATAGCACAAAAATGATGCTGCTGGCGTATGCAGATGATATCGATATCGTACGTATGAAACAAAGGGACAAAGGGAAAAAAAGCTAGAGAGATTGGTCTGGCGCTGAGCGAGGGCAAGACAAAGTACCTCCTGGCAACATATAAAGAGTCCACGCGTTTCGGGCACACGTCATTGTTCGAGAGAACTATTATACGCCCTGTTCTCGTGGACGACGGGTATCGGAGAAAATGGAGTGACGAACTGTATGAGCAATTTAACGACATGGACATAGTTAAGCGCATAACAATGCAGCGATTGTGGTGGCGTGGACATGTTGTACGAATGGGTAATGACGCTCCGGCGAAAAGATCCTGCGACTCCGCACCCATGGGTGGACAACGAAAGCAAGGGCGCCCACGAACGCAATTTAAGGACCAAGTGCAGAAGGACCTGTTTGAGCAAGGGGGTCATACACCGGAAGAAACGCCAGGAAAAGTATCCGGCGGTTGACTGGCTTTCGAAGCATTCCGTTCGCGACTAGCCACGTATTTCATGCTTTCCTCGATGACGAATTAAAACTATAAAAAAATATGCCGCAAGGTTTTGCCACTTACTTACTTAGATCTGTCTGTTTGCCAATGATAATTTGTAACATTTATTGAAGCATATATAGTACAAAAACGACGCTAACGAATGCGCATGCGTCAACATTGGCAAAACAAAAAAAAAACTTTACTCAACAGAGAGCCTGAGAGGATGTCCTGTTGATAAAATTAAAACTATTTCATTCAGAAGAATACGGAAATTGCGAATTGTGCAAATCCTTCACATCCGATTTTCCATTCAACTAACCGAAAACGTTGAATTTTTCAGTAAAATTTGAAGAATTTGTGAGATAAGGTTTTCTTATCATAACGGGAAATACATATATGTATATGTACATACTATGTACTATGTAGGTAAACGTGTGAAAATGAAATGTTTGATTTTTAATGCTTTTTAGTTTTTAAGTTAGTCGACACCCAAAGAAATTCAATATAACACGATTTTGACGTTTTCTTTATTTTTGGCCTTTATACACAAAGTATGTATGTATTTACTTTTGAGGGTGGTAATCTAAATATGAAGTCCTGCGATAGCGGTAAATTAGCTCATCAAGTTACAAGGACAATGATCTTCCCCCGAAACTTTAAATACACATACATACACACACACACATACACATTTGTGTAGAAGGGTTGCCGATTGAAGCCTTTCCTTTCACTGTTCACATACTGATGAGTGAAATCCATATTTGCTCATTCCTAAAGAACAATATCAACACGTTTTGTTCAAAAACACCGCATTTTAATATACACACATTTGTTTAAAAAAAAAAACAAAGCACCAACCCTTCCTTGGGTGTCAAAATACTGGCCCCAGTGCCATAACTGC